CTGGCAGGCGCCCCTCAACTTTGGGGCCCGGGGGTGCGCGCGGGGCTGCACCTGCCCTGGCGCTCCGGGACTGCGGGCCGGCGCGCTCGCCCGGGCTGGTGGCCCTGATGCGCCCGAGTCCAGGGCTCTGGGCTCGTGTGTGTGCGAGGCGCGGACGCTGGGGAGGGAGCCGAGGCCGCGCGGCGGGTGGGGCGCACGGGCTGGGTTTCAGCTGGAGCCGGGAAGTCGGTTCCCCGTCCCCCGGCTGCCTCTGAAAGAAGGCGAACCGGGGAGGAGGGGATACGGCGATGGGGGGCAGCGATTGGTGGTTTGGGTGGGGAGGGCTGGCGGCGGAGCCAGCGAGCTGGCGCGAGGAGGGGGTGGCGAACTTCCCGGGAGAAGGGGCTCTTTCCGCGCCAGGGCTGGCGAGCGAGCCGCCGCCGCCGAGCTCCGACTCCGGGCAGCGGCCGGCTGGGCGCTCGGCGCTCGCAAAGTAACGCTGTTTATTTATTCGCTCGCCTTCAGCCTCTCGGGCTGGACCCGATAGACACCCCCTTGGACTTTGGGAGCCCGCGCCCGGCCTCTCCGGCCGCCTCCCCCTCTGTGGGTGCGGGAGGCTCCCGGGAATACGCGCACACGCCCCCCGCCCCCCTCCCGGCGCCCAGACACGGGTAGGGGTGGGCCCTTCCCCGGGCTCTGGAAAGTCCTCCAAGGCGGGAGCAGAGGAGGGCAGCGGGGCAGGGGAGGCTCCAGCGCTCTGGGCTCTCCTTTGAAAGCGCGCTCTCCCTTCCAGGTGGGGTCGGACCTGAACCCCTAGAAGCGGAACCGCCTCGCGTCCCCGCGCCAGCCGCCCTCCCGGAGCTGAGTCGCCGGCGGCGGTGGCGGNGGACGGACCCGGGGTTTGCTCGCGCGCTGGATGGAGCTGAACTTCGGGCGGCCAGAGCAGCGCGGCCGTCCGGGGATCGCTGCGCCCTGAGCCCCCTCGGCGAGACCCGGCGGCGCCCCGGGATTTTCTGGGGAGGTGGGGACCTGCCGCGCGCCGGCACCATGTTCCTGGCGACTCTGTACTTCGCGCTGCCGCTTCTGGGTAAGTCGAGGCTGCCGCTGGGTTTCTTAACGCTCCGGGTCTTTCGGAGGCGTCCCCGCGGCGCGGGGCGCGGTGGGTGTGGGAGGGCGAAGTTTCGTTTTGGGGAAGGGGATCCTGAATCTCCAGCACCCCGGGCCGGGGGGCGGTGTCGACGCGCAGTGGCCCGCAGCTTTCCGTGCTCGGCTTTTATTTTCGGCGGTGGCCCACGGCCTTCGCCTGATGGGAACTAAAGGGGT